ACAGAAGAACGTACATGGTCAGCATACCACACCATTCAAAATCAATTGACAGGAAGGCATAAAACATTCTTAAATAATTAACTTGCCCTTTATCTGTTAGTAAACCTTTTCAAAATGCTACATGACTACTGGACAATTCAAAGATTTTATTTGGGGCCTTAATGTATATGCTACTCTGATTTATTTTTTCCTTGTTTTTTTATAGGAATACCATTTTCTCTATTTGCATATATACATTTCCTAAAATTCAGAAATGGCTTATATTTTCATCTAGAAAATATAAGTTCTTCAAAGTCTAGGATTTAAAACTTTATTTGTCATGCTTATGTTCAGCTTATGCTTACTAAAGTAAGCAAGTCAAATAGCTTGACAAAGCAATCTCAGGCAGTAACTGGCTGCTGTGAATGGGATCAGGTCAATGTCCGGATAGTACATCTTCATGAGACAGAGTCAACTTTTTATACTGTCTTCAAGCAGGCAGACTCATACCAGTTTGTATCATTCAGCACATGGGATATCAAATTATTTTACTGTCTTTCTGAAGACATAGAAGCGTACATGGAAACATCTTGGAGCCCTTTGCCTTTGCAGAGTCCCACTTGTTTCATTTTCTTCTCACATAAATATCAGTTCTTTGAGTGTTTTATCAAGCTGGTACTTCTACAGTCTGGCATGGAAGAAGGAAAAGGTAGAAAGATAGTACTGTATTTCTGGATTTATATTTTACTGGAAGAAAGTATTAAATTGTAAATGACAAGCACAGAATATTTAAAAATAGTTCAGTATTATTTATTAGTTATTTTTTTGAGGAATAGATCTTAAATATAGTTCAAACGTGGAATCATTGGTGGATAATGCTGTTTATAAGTCTTGTGCTGAATTTTGTCCATTGTTGATGGGGATCAGTTTGGAATGGAATATAAAATACCACTGGTGAAATGCCTGCTGTTCTGTGTTTGGTTTTATACAATATGATTAGGTTTCTCCAAGGCTTTTCATGTTTAAAATACATTTTTAACCTTATGTGGAGGGAGATAATCTACAATTATCTGACAGAAGGATGTAGTGAGGCGGGTGTTGGTCTCTTCTCCCAGGTAACAAGTGATGGGACAAGAGGAAACAGCCTCAAGTTGAGGAGGGGAGGTTCTGTCACTGAGGTATCCAGGTCTGTCATTAAGACTTTGCATGGATACAGGCTACCTCTTGATATACAGAAAGCCAGATGTTGCAATTTAATGGTTATAGGAAAGTTGATGGTTAGCAATGTCAGATATAAAAAGGTGAAACATCTCTGTCCCCATAACCTTAGAGGAAGACCAGACTGGGAACATGTAATGAAATGTATTCATTATAATGTCTGTAAATATGTCCCCACAAATGGCAACAGACTAGAGAAATGCTTATCCTTCACTTAAAAAATAAAATATGATCCTCCCCCAAATGCACTGATGCTGAAAAATATTTAAGAGTCCGTGTATAACTGATTAAAAATAAAAAAGATATTAAAAGCGTAAATGTGAAAGTATCAGAATATGACAGTAACATAATGTTGGATTAAATATCACTGTAATATTAAATACTGCCAAGGTGTCAATATTTCTTTAAGTATTTAATTTCATTTGTTTTGGTGTTAAAAAAAATTTCAAAGTAGATCTGAGAAAGAAGTGTTTATAGTGAGAAAGTGAATAATTTTTTTACGTATAAATTATTTGGGACTTAGTTAAGTGACTTGATAACAGAAAATACCTGGAAGTTATATTTTATGTTACCACATTAATAGAGAAGAAAAAGTCAAAAGAAAATGCACAGTTTGGATGCTGAAGCAAAACAAATTCAAATAGGAAAAAGTAATGATTTTTAATACCAGATAATACTAGGGGATAGCTGGATTAAGAGGAAGCTGTGCTGTCTTGTCATTGACTCTTAAAACAAAGACTAGATACTTTCCTGTGAATGGATGAGATCTCTGACAGATGTTTGCCAGAGCAGGGTCTTCAGTCTTTGTTACCCTGGTGATCAATTGAGAAATACAGAGCAGTTCCTTTTACAGTGAAAAATGACTGATTTCTTAAACACTTGACTACTGAAGATCTTCTATTAACATTGAAGTATAGACACAGAACCATGTTGTTCTTACAGTGTAAGGGTCTAAATATATTTTGTAATCAAGGTTTTCATCTAATTCCCAACAGGGCTCAGAAGTGTGTGGTGCATCCAACAGGGCTCTATATGCTGCACAGATTATTTTATATAAATCTATGTAATTATATTGTAATTTCACAGGATTGTTGCCCAGTACACGGGACATGGTGTCTGACTATAGAAGGCTGAACAGCACACCCATGAAAACATGAGTGTTTTAAAATACTACTTCTGCTTTTTATCGACATGCTTAACCTTTCACTGTAAATACATTTTGTCTTATTTTTGACAATTATTATTATAAAAAAGAAAAGTGAATATGGATGTGGACACTCTAATTAATATGTTTTGAAAAAATCCTTCCAAGTTTAGGAACTCAAGAGAGGAAATTTTCTTTATGACCTACTTTGCAGTTTCGGGTTTTATGCCACTGTAAAAATAACAGCTCCATAACTATAATTTCTGTATTGCAGTTTAGGAAAACATTATATAATTAATTCTACATAATACTACCCCAAAATATGGTGGAATTGGGAGTACATTTAGAAATGTTAAGCTTCAGATTGCCATGCATGCCATGTACTGAAGGGACTCTTTGTAATGAAGGTGTTGCATTCTCCTCTTTTACTACATAAAAACTATGAAGAATTCCATTTCAACTACCATCTATCTGGCTTTTTTCCGCCATAGGTAATCATGTCTTGTCTAGAATATTTTGTTGAAATCTGGTTATCAGGAAAGAATGCATGTTTTGCATTTTTGAAAATAATGTCTTTTCATTTATTTTCATTTATTTTGTTTTAAGCACTGAAGACTCCTAAGGCTTCAGAAAGTCCGGCTTTTAATGTAACATTCCTTAACTGTTGTGTTATGATGGCCTTTTTAATGTTACAGGCTTGCAGTTTCTGTGTTTTGCTAGAATGACCTCTTCTGCAATACACAATTTGATAGTTGAGATGTTACAATTTATTTCATACTTGCATACAGCCTAGTTACTGTCATTAAAATGGCCGATTGTTCTTTTATGAAGAAATAACAACTTATCCACATAAGATGGGCTAATCAGTAGGTTTCTTTGTTATTTTAGCATAGCTGCTCTTAAATGGTTTTATTTTCCTAAGGCCATTTTTTATATCAGTCTTTCAGCACCGTGGTATTTATGCTTTCTCTGCTCTTTATTTTTTCCTAATAAAACAGGGAATTTTTATTCAGGCAGTTGTAAGAGATGTCTGTCTAAAGTTTTATTTATTTATCCTGGAATATTTTCTAATAATATTTTCCTAAAAGTAAAAAAATGGTTACACTTGCAACAATGTTTTGCTTGTGCACTAAACCTTCATAAAGGCAACACTCTATGTACAAGCATAAATTAATAATCAGTGATTGAAACTGGTCTATCTGAAAGGCAGTGTAGGTTTGCTTTGGTTAAAGGGATTAGATATAAATAAATATGCTTTGTGGGTTGAGAAATTTTCTGAACTTGATGTATGTGAGAGATGAAATTGCACTTATGATATACTTGGGGGTTCTTCATCCCCTTTTTCAATCTTAATTTCTTAAGCTTAATATTAATATTGCTACTTTATATATTCATACAGGTATGTGTGTATTACACTTTATTCTTCAAATTTGTAACTCTCTCTTACATTAATTAAAAAGCTACGGTACTTAAGTAATGAAAGATTTATATCCTTTTTCCCCTCTTTTTTGAGTGTGTTGCAGTTCTGCATAAAAGCCATGCTAATTTTAATCAGAATTCTGTCTGTGCTTTTGTAAACATACACGCACTGAATAATACCTGATAAAGTTTATTTGTATTATTCAATCATCAGTGAAAAATGGTGTGTTTCTTTTCCAGTGAGTAAAATGTATAGGTAGAGAAATGGTGGAAAAATTTTTGTTAGCATTAGAAATGTTTGACATCTCTGTTAATGCACTATTATTTTATGCAGGTGTACAAGATCTGCAAAATAGCATGTTATACAGTACATGTTTTAGATGTTGCACAGTAGAATATGCAGCAGCTAAAACTGATGGGATTAACTGATCTCAACTGATTGAATGAAAAAAGCCTATACTTATAATTAATATTCATAAATATTCAAGTCTAATTGAAAACAAAGATCTATAAAAAATGCTGGTGTCAGATAGAATTGATGGTTTTTATTTTCCCTTAGGATAAAGTATACTATGGGAACATAACAGACGAAGAACAGGTTTTCGGCTTGTATAAACATTGGCAAAAAAATGACAAATAGAAAAGAATTTATATTCTTTCTTTCCTATTTCCAAGATATATATATATTTAAATATTTCAGAAATCATTTCATTTTTTGAATTATCATCAGCAAGGTAGAGCAGACTGACATTTCTCTGCATGATTTTTTTGTTGCTTAGTAGGTTGGAGTGCCTCCTGAGAGATGCAGCTCAGTTGCTAATTTCATCAAGCCTAGACCTGAGATAAAGGTAGCTAGCACAGGACTTGGGAACCTCACAGTGACCATTTTGCTTTCTGTCTGCTACTGGGCAAATCAGCTAGGGCTGTGTTTCCCAGAGAGACTGAGAAGTGCGTCTCTCTGAGCTGACCAGACTCTTTGGGTCTCAGTGTCCCATGTGTAAATTAGGATTGGGATGTGGTTTCCTCATTCAGTCATGTGCAGGAAGGATAAATACATTCTTATGGTCTAAATGGTTCAAAGCCTGCAGTAATACCCACACTGAGAAGCCATGTTTTCTCATCTCTGGAGGGTCACATAGCAGGCTGGAGGTTTCTGAAAGCCCTTTCAGCCTGTTGTTCTTGTTGTTCTTGTGCTTACTGTTGCAGCCTGCTGAGTGTGTTTTTTCTTTCTCTTTTATAGTTTGAGGGATGCAAGAAAGCCTTTTCCAGACTAGAAAATCTCAAGATTCACTTAAGGAGCCATACAGGTGAAAAGCCGTACCTTTGTCAACACCCTGGCTGCCAGAAAGCATTCAGCAACTCCAGTGACCGTGCCAAGCACCAGAGGACACACGTGGACACTGTAAGGAAGCAGAAGTCACATTGCAGTCTCCTGTGCATTAGACCATGTGCTCCTTTCATCCAGCTTGGTGTCAGTAGATAGCCCATAACCTTAGAGATAGGAGGGAGAAGTGTCTGGTGAGGCAGTTTAAGGTGTTTCAGAAGCATGGATGAAGATGGGCCAAACTAGTTGATAAAAGGGCTGCAGCTCCACAGGTTTTGCCTCAGCTAAAAGCAATAACTGTCTCCCACTTGAATGGTCTTTAGGGAACCTGAAGTCACTATGAAAAGACAGAAGCCGTCTGTGATAATAATGGTTATTCTCTGGCAAAAACTCAGTTGAACTTGAGGTTGGGGCATGTACCAGAAAAGTCAAGAGAGGAAGAATAATTTTGTAAATCTAAAAATTTCATTCCAACAAAGTGCTGCGTATGAATTTGAATCCCAGCTGAGATTAGTTTAAAACATTTTGTTTCATAACAAAGATGATGTTTTGTCAGAGACAAGCAGTTTCCAAAGGCCAGAAGTCCAGAAACAAAATGAGAACAATGCCATTTGAATTAAATGGCAGTCACAAAACTTAAATGATAAATTTCAAATAGTCAATAGTATGGCTGGTAAGTTAATCATTTGTACAGGTGTTTACGGAAATGCTTTTGTGAAACATAAACATCTAAATTGCAAAATAGCTGATTTCAGCAAACCGTTGGACCTGAAGTTCATTTAACACTATGTATTGTGAACCTACAAGTCTTCAGGGAATACAGATGGGTTAGAACAGGCAGAAGGAGATACTTCCAAAGATTTAGATTTATTTGGTGAGTTAGGTGTGTTGGGTATTAAAAAAAATACAAGGATATCTGGAATCTTTCTAAAATGACTTTTTTTTTAGAAAACGTGAGCTAAAGGAGTTTGTCTTGTACTTCACATTAAAATTTGTATTTTTGTATGTAGTATTTTTGAAACTTCAGTCTTCAGTGCTTGCTTTGGTTTTTGCTTCCTCTTTGTAATGTAGTGAACTAACACTTTTTCTTGTTTTTCTCTTCTGAAGCAGATTCTTCTATAATCCTAAACAGTCTCTCTGGGCCTTTACTGCACTTTCTTTACCTGATTCTCTAAAGAGTGTAATTTCTGGTTAAGTCAAAGATTGCTCTGAGGGTGGAAGAATTGTGAGTATAACTAGCAATATTTATTGTACTGATTACCAAAAAAAGGTAACAATAACAGGTGCCATAATGAAAGCTTTCCTTTTGTCTTTCTTATAAGCCTTACTTTCCTCCTTTTCCTTTCTAATAAATTACTGAGCATTCTGCTTATAATAATGTACAACATTTGTGTTCTGTAATAATGTGGTTTGCAGCATCCCAAGTTTCAAAAAGACTTATCTGGAATTAAAATAATTCGTGATATAACAGCTGTTTTATCCTTTTTTCTTTTTGACCTAGAAACCTTATGCATGTCAGATTCCAGGATGTACAAAACGATACACAGATCCAAGTTCTCTGAGAAAGCATGTGAAAGCCCATTCTTCCAAAGACCAACAAGTGAGGAAAAAGGTAAATTTTCTACTGTGTTGACTGCTGTAAGGCTTATGTGGAGAAGTCAGTGTTTTAGCATTAGCTGTTTCAATGCATCTTCAAGTACCTGTGCTGACATCAGGCTGTTATTAGAAAAACTGTTAATGGGAAGTTTCATATGGGTTTCATATAAATGATATTGACTTAATGAGGCTGCATGCTTTACTGCTTTTTATTTTCTGATGTGGTGATTAACCACTGAAGATACATAATGAGGCGACTAAAAGACATTTTTTGAAAACTCTTTTTTTTTTTAAAGTTTTTCAAGTTCTGCTAATCTGTAAATGCACAGTAATACAAAATCCAGCTTACATAGCCAGTCTCAGATGGAAGGATGGATTCTGAGGATAAGATGGGCCGTATTTGAGATTAAGGTGGAAATTACATTTACGTGTACCAGACACTTCCAAATACCAAGACATTTCACAACACTGGTTCCCTGTGGATGTCAAGTCCAAGAGTCAGCAGTTGTTTATGTGTAAGCACATCTTTTAAGAGCTGAGCTGTGACCTAAGGGAATGATTTCTTTTCCTGAGCATTTTTCATCATAACTCCTATTAATCACTGGCAATATTTCCTTAGATCATTGAGAATAAAAATGGAAGCTTTCACTTTAAAGGAAATTGGTCCTGATAAAAGGGAAACATGCATGGACTGGTTTAGGGATAGACAAAACTTTGAAACGGAGCCCTATGTAAAACAAGTTACAGTTCAGAAGTTTTAAAATTAAGTGCACAACCATTCATAGAAAGTTGCCAGAAACTGTTTTGTGCAGCATTGGAAGTACTATGTGGCAAGTTTTAAGGCTGCAGTATACAAATTGAAAGAGTACATTTTGATTCAGTGGTCTATTGAAGCAGGACATGGCAGCAGAGACTCCATGTCAGCCTCTGAGGAACTGCACTGCAGTAATCTTGAGGAATTTCTTTTAAACTCATGAATGCCAACTTCTGTATCAGAGACGAGGTAATGGAGCATCAATTTTCACCTTATAAGCAGTGCTTTGTCTCCCTTGCTTCTGTGCACAATTACCAGAGGCAGGACTACCAAAGGAGGTCTGCGAGCTCTGTCCTGCATATCTGAGAAGGGCAGCTCAGCTACCCAGACCCTTGTCTTTTACAGGCATGTAGACTAAATGCCAATCAAGACTATTCTGAAAAATTTGTGTGTGATGTGTCAGCTAAAACTGACATAAATGGACCTGAATATAGCTGTTCAGCTGCACTGTAACATTACTGTCTTTGAAACTGAAATAATGTGTTATCTCCCTTCTATCATTATGCCAGATTGCAATACTCTGTGGGATTTTCCTTCCTGCATTTTATTCACTATTCCACTTTGCTTATTTTCCATTCCTTATGTGCCAGACCTGGCTTTTTTTACTCCTTGCTTGACTCTCTATGGTCACATTCTAAACTTAAAATTGCTTATTTCTCATTCCTGTTTGATAAGGATTTATTTATGTGCATTGATCACCTGTGATACATTGATATATGGAAGGGTAAATAAGCCAAACCACCACAAAAAGAAAAATTGCGGCTTCTATCAAGCCAGATACTTAAAGCGTGGATAGTTTGCAATGAGCAATGTTTACAAGGTACACCATGGTTACTGAACCTTTAAGAACTTAAAATTGCTAACTAACATCATGTTTTGGTATTTGAAATATTTCCTGGTAGTAATAATAAGTAAGAAACAATAAACCTTTTACTACAAAATTAAAGTTATTTATGGTTTTAATTAAAAGTGAAAATTGGCTTAATGTCAAAAGGGTCTTTACAAAAATGTGAATTCATCAAAAATAACCATAAAAATTCCAAGGTGATAAAGGCACCGTGGAGTAATACTTCCAGCCCTAGGGATCTATTCTGTTGAAAAGAATAAAACCCTTTGCTGTCACACCCCGTTAGTCATGGATTCATTTAATATATCATGCCTGACTGCTTTTAATCCTCCTTTTAACCTCCCCCAACACACTAAGTGACATTATTGTGGTGTCTTAAGTTGCTGGCTCTCCAAGACTGTACCTGCAAATGAGTCTTTTATGTAGCGGAGTCTTAAAATAGAAGGATGAAGTATATTCATAACAGTGGAATTAACTACTTGCTGTGCTAAACTTTACATTCAGCCCAGATTTTTCTACACCTGTCTTCCAAGATTTCCTTGGCCCTCTAAGATGGGGCCAGATTATGCAATGTGGTATAGATAAATTTCCATCTCTGAATTATTTTAAACAACTATTCTTTATGGCTTACCATGTGAGGCAAAAATGCCTTTTCTCTAAATCTTGTAAGGCAGCTGGTGTTCCCCTTCTCCTTGCAAACTCCAGCTTTTGGCCATCCACCAAATAACTGGGAATTGCTCCAGGTAATGGGATGAAAATCGTATAACCAAGAAGATGATGGCACAAATATATTTAACGCAAGCAATTTAGTGGATAGTACAATAAAATTTCATTTACATTTCAGAGGAAAGGAGGAGAGTAAGGAGCACTATGCCTGCATTAATTATCACTTGTAAAATTCTTCATAAACAGGAGGGAAAATATGTACACAAATACCACACACCTGGGAACAGATGCTCAAAATGTCTAGCAAAACATTTTAGGCATAATCTCTATGCATCACAATGTTCAGGATGTATTTTAAGGTAATTTAGTGTGATAAAAAGCAGTACTTCCTGTTTTATTTTAAAAAGTAAAAAAATGCTCTCTGTGCCTGGATTTCAACACCCCTTCAGCAATATAGGTGGATCTCCTGAGCAGGGAGCTCAGTGGTCAAAAAATAAGCCGCACCCAAAACGAGAGCATAAAGTGATGCTAAGAGAAATGCTAGTGCACAACATGCCATGGGGCTACAATATCTTTTGAAATCTGTCTTCTTCTTATTCATCTCCTCCTTTCAGTTTTGAAAGAGCAACAAACTTAGATTTCTCGTAAGTTGAACAGTTACCATGTGGCATTTAATAACTGAACGTAATAATGGAAGGTAAGAGCCATGCAGGATTCAAAGAGAACCGGTTATTTCTGTGGGTAATGGGACAGAGTTAAAAAATAAAGGTGAGTTTTGCAAGGGATATTTTGGTGTTTGAAGGTCATGCTTCAGAATAGAAGTCAGCATCAAGCGAAATAGACTGTGGAAATGTGTGGTTCTCCTGTACTGCTTATTTGCAGCTTCTCACTCTTTCTCCTGAAATGCCAGCTGCTAATGGACGCAGTGTATATAACTGTAAGCACTCTGGATGGGCCTTGGGCCTGGTCTAGAATAAGCATCTGCTTCTGAACTTACTCTAAAATAACCTTCAGGATGCCTACCCTTAATTTATGTGTTCTGCTTTTTTCTTTCTCTTGTTCAGCTTTTATAATCCTTTTCTCTTTCAGTTTTCTTTCTTATTCTGTCCTCCACCTTCATAGCTTTGTGTCTTTGGGATATGCAGCCCGAATTGAACATATGTAGGTGGTTGACATGCGTATGCTATGATAAAACCAATCCCAGGACTTTCTTCCAGTCCAGATACTCCTATATTCTCTCATCTTTCACCCTGTTTCTTTCCTTCATTTTTTCCATGTGAAGAGTTCAACTAAATTTTCCATTAGAAATTATATTGGAACATACAAGCAGCTTTAATAAGGAAAGCTACAGTTGAGAGCTTTGCTTTGGTATCTTCAACAGGGCTCAGTAATTTTGTTCCTCGAATCATCTTGTAGAATCTCTGACTAGTCAAAAATGCACTACTTGACACAAATAAGCTTATTTTCAGTTGTTTACACTTTGTGTTTTCAGTAAACAGATTTTTTCATCTGTGAATTGACAATATGGTTTTGAAAAAATTAATCCATAGTTTTAGTTTGTATGTATTTTTATTAAAGTTAGTGAAGACATAATTATATAATGCATTTTTAACAAAATTCAGAGCCTGCACTATTACATACTCAGTGATTTGAACGCAATATACAAGACAAATATTGGCATTGTGCTTTTCATCAAGATTGATTTGTTGTGCAAGCTAGCACACAGCCTTGTACAAGTATAAGAACATTGCCTTTTTCACATACCATGAAAACCATTTGCTATTTCTACAGGAGTCTTGCTGAAGGAATCTGTATTTGTAAATCTAAAGAAAATATTTAAGTATTATATTGAAAGTTATGCAAGCGCCTTGTTGTTTTTCATGTGCTTTAGCATGCATCCCAGGAGAATCTGCTCCAAGATTTTGCCAGGCGCAGAGTTGTGACTGACTGGTCTGTAATTCCCTGGGTCATCCGTTTTCCCCTTCTTGAAAATGGGGGTTATATTTCCCTTTTTCCAGTCATCAGGAACTTCACCTGACTGCCATGATTTTTAAAATATGGTGGAGAAAATGATTGTTTCCATTTAATTAAAGGAAAGCGTAATGGATAAGGACACAATTGGTTAGCTCCATCTCTGTGGAGAAAATGAAAAGATAATTCCTTTGCAGGAATTCAGATAAAGAAGACTAGAAGGGAATGTAAAACTCTTAGTCTGGGCCTTGAACTGAAAGACAGTTTATACCAACTAATATCATCTGTCAGCTGCCCAGTCTTTGATTCTTTGGCAGTTTTAGCAGTGCCCAGACTATGTCTTTGATCTTGTTGTGTAAGTTAGTTATGGATCAGATACATTATACAGATGAGCTTTTAAATATTGAATGTTTACTTGACAATTGCCTCTGAAAGCTCTCTGTCTCCTGGATACCTACATCATCTTAGCTGAATCAAACAGCTCTGGAGGAAACCATGCATGGATTCAGACGACAAGATAGCTTAACACCTCCTAGGTCTCCACTGGATTTTTCAATACTATACAGAGAGGCATAGATCAGCTAAAGCATGCAGTGTTTAGTCTTAATTATATTTTGTTCCTTGTTTATGTATTTGCTTTGTACTTAGTCTAACACAATTGTGCTTGTGTCTATTTTCCTGTCTTCTTCCAGGACACAATTTTTGTATTGTCTCTGCCAGAAAGCAAGTAGCATGGAGTCATTGTTTTGGGAGAGGCAGTGCAAAGGATATTTCTGAAAACTGTCTACAGCTTGTAGAGGTTTTTTTAATTGTAGTGTATATGGCACATCTACTAAATTACTAAGGAATGAAGGACACAGTGAAACCTCAGGAGACAAGGGATATGTGCACAGACTTCCAGCTTGGTTCATTTCTGCCTAATAATTTTGCTTTTGACACAGATTGATCAATTGTAAGATCATGGCTAAACAGTGGCTTTTGTGGAGTTATCAAAGCATTCTCCCAGTGAAAATGGGCTCTTCCAGGATTTGTTCCTATGATATGTGACAGACTCAGGTGTGCTGAGGAGGAATAAAATACAGGCAGTTCTACTTTGGATTGTAGTAGAGCCTAGTAGAGAACAACAGTTCACACTAGATGCGGAGCATATTAGAAATAATGAAATAAGGATATGGATTGTCTGGCCAAAGGAATTCCTGGAATTGCATTGCAGAGTGGTGGCCTCTACTGACCTTGATCACAGTTCCCATCTGAACTGAAGGGGCTGTACTGAACTCACTTTGCACAGCTCAAAATGATCCTGCATATACTGCTCTTCTGTGACTGTGCAACCCCTGTATTGACAAAAAGGGGATATAAAATCTTTACCTTCAGAGGCAGACCTCAATAACTGAATTGTCCTGAATCCTAATCATTTTATATCCCTTTTCTGACAGTTTACCACTTCTCAGAGCCCTGTTATGTATAATGTATATAAACCTGTCCATCTTACCATAAAAACATTAAGAGAAATGAGAAATAAACATGCTTAAAGACATGATATCCTCTATTGAACATTATTTCTCTGAAAATAAGATATACAAGTGTTTTCATTACAGGTTAACATGGAGTTTTCTGTAAAGCTTTGAAAGATTGTCTACCTTTGTATGTGAGTTATGTCAGCAAATATGTTACTCCCTCAGCAAAACAATACAGAGCTCTTGCTTCTTATAGGGCTGGTCATTTCTTGATTATTCATTATTTACATTGTTTTACAGTAGAAGCAGGCTTTTTTATTGTGACATGTTGATTTTACTGCACAATTGACGAGGCTACAAGTTTCTTTATAGGTTTTGAAATAAACACAATTTTACATCACCATTTAGATTTAGTGGAGAACATGAATAGTAAACAATGTCTGGTGATTTTCTTTAGCTAGTATCTTTGGTTTATTTAATTTCACAACACTTATTTCCATTTTATCCTTTCATTTCTCAGTATTGGAGAATCCAGAAACGTAATGCTTGATGTGTTACTCACAGGAAATAAATTAACTTCTTTTTATTTTTCTAACTCAGAATGTTCAAGTCCTAAGGAAAGAGGAATCCAAGGAGGTTTAGAGCATTACATCATTGGTATTTCAGCAGGTTATTTGGGCACTAATCCGGTTACTGGTGACATTGTCCATTATGTGACTATATAAATCTGGAGAAATTGCTCTGTTTATGAACACCTGCCTCGTGGGGAGTAAACTGCCAGGTTCTGCATTATGAACTTCATTATCTGCCCAGTTTGCTTCTGTATCTTTCAGGTTTCACTTGCCCTTATTAAAACTCTTTGTTAAGATCTCACTGTTAAAATAGCAAAAGAGAGAATTGATTGAAAGGGAAGCAAATCTATTTTTTTGCTTTGAAAGCAGTTGAACATAAGGATATTTTCCATCATTTGTTCTTTATGGAGACCATTTAAGAGATGTCACTAATGCAAAAAGAAGTGCATTCGGGGGCTAAGGGTCAGTGAGCAGTGCCCATGGCAACTAAGAAACTATTCTGCAGAAAAAAAATGCAGTAAAGAGCAAGTGTTTTAATCCCCAACTTTAATCCCTTTACTTCCTGTTTTCAAGATGAAATATAAATCAGGCACCAGGACGTGGAGCAATTTTTCCTGAAAGGGATGTTGGCAAAAAGGGATTAGGAATGGCAGCAGTGTTTAAAGAATTTAATCATACAATTTGTTGGAAAACTTTTGAGACTACAAATGACCAGTTCTTTTGAGCGTGGTCAGTGAGAAACAGGAAAACAGACCCTGAAAGCAATGGAGGACTGACTTATTGGATCTCACCCCCCATCCAGCTGCTGCATGAGGCATTTCTTACAAGGAAACTTCATCATCGGGGATATGCTTTGCCAGGGGTGAATGTAGAGGAAACAACAAAACCCTCCTTATGATTTTCAGGGTGCTATTGCAGTTATAATCAAGAGATTGTTGGTACAGTCTGATATTTAACATTTGCTTTTTCACATCATGACTCCTCCCTGCACTTGGTTTCTGCCCTGAGTTTGTACTCCTATGAGCTTTGGCAGTGTGATGTATTGAAAAGTCACCCTTGTTACCTTTACACATTGCAAAAAAAAAAAAAAAAAAAAAAAAAATGAGAATCCATATAATCTCAAAACTCTGTAAAAAGCTGTCACTGTGTGCCCAAAGTGTTTTACGTTCTTCTGGTTCACTTTTAGTAGCAGACACTATCATTTTCTCCATTTGTGTGTCTTTACTTCCCTGCCACAGCATATACATGAAAGTAGGCTTGAGCAAGCAGGAATTCTTCTTTCTTTAGGGGCCTGATTGACAGAGTCCATTGGGAGGCAGCCCTGAAGGGCAAAGGTGTCCAGGAAGGCTGGACATTCTTCAAGAAGGAAAACTTAAAGGTTCAGGAGCAGGCCATTCCCATGTGCAAGAAGATGAGCTTGTGGCTAAGAAGACCAGCCCAGCTGAATAGAGACCTTTGGCTGGAACTCAGGGAAAAAAGAACCAGTTTATTACTCTTTTATTACTTTGGAAGAAGGGGCAGCCAACTCAAGAGGCCTACAAGGATGTTGTAAGGTTAGGCAGGGACAAAACGAGAAGTGCCAAAGTCCAGTCAAATTTAATTTGGCTACTGCAGTAAAAAACAATAAAAATGTTTCTATAAATACGCTAACAACAATAGGAGGTCTACTGAGAATCTCCATCATTTATTGGATGTGGGGTGAAACAGTGACAAAGGATGAGGAGAAAAGCCTTTGCCACAGTCTTTAACAGTAAGACAAATTGTTCTCCAGGTACCCAATACCCTGAGCAGAAAGACAGGGAGGAAAACACAGATCCCATAATCCAAGGAGAAACGGACAATGACCTCCTCCACCACCAACACACATACAAGTCTATGGGGCTGGATGGAATCTGCCCAAGGGTACTGAGGGAGGTGGCAGAATTCTTTCATATTAGATACCATAGAAATTTAAAGTCAAATAATGCTCATTAATAATGTAACTGATAAGGATTTGAATGTGGATATATCTAGCATTTATTTTCACATACACTTAATGTCATGAAAAAGCCATGTTACTAGTGATAGCAATAAAACCAGAATAAGGTATTATCTATACAAGTAGCCCTTGTTCTGAGTATAGTATTGTTAAGCATCTGAAAGAGTTTCCTCCTTCAGATTCAAAAAATGCCTGCTGTAATGGAATATTATTAACCAGTATTTAAAAGAGAAGAATTCTGCCTGCTTGTGTTCTGTTTCTTTCTTCAACCCCTCACCATTTCTTCATTATAATTTTTTGGTGTCTTAAGGATTTGTGTGATTTATTTTCTTTTTCCATTTTTTTTTCCCCTTTTTGTCTCCTGTGTTTCAGTTGCAATCAAGCTCAGAGCTTGGCCTGGATATCTTGAATGATTGCCTTGCAGTCCAGCCCCTCCAGTCAGCCCCATCGCCACATGATGCTGCAGATAATACTATGGGACACTCCCCAGGGCTCGCTCACGATATTTACCCAGGTATAGAAAAAGACAAATAAACAGCCTGCTATGTTATTGTTCACTGAAGATTAGGGATGGCTTTGCAGAATCGGATGCACTCTAAAATCTGTATCTATCTCATTAGAAGGATAGAATCTCTCATATAATATGAAAAGATTTTTAACAGATTTTTAACAGGTTTTTTTCAAAGGAGGCAGGACAGATCATATTTTACCATTAAAAGACCAACTGGAAAGAAAAGCAGTATTTTTGCTCTGTAGGCATTTGACTTGTGCTAGCAGTTTACTTCTACCATTCCTTGTAGACATCTTGAATTCATTAAGCTTCATTGAAAAATTGAAGTATTTTTCCTTTTCCTTATTCATGTATCACGTAACAGTTTTCAAATACATCTACAGTAATGAACTTAAATGTCGCATCATGAGCTCTCATATTATAGCTATAAATATACCAATAAACATGTTTGTGCTTTAAAGGTGATAATCCTATTTTTTTGTTTAAGTATCTAGATTTTCGTATTAAAATATGTAACACTGTCATACCTGTCTAAATGTACAATTGTTTCCCTACTTCAGCTAAATTTGAAATATTTGGTAAGTTATGAGTGATAACATCTCAAAACTTAGGACAGTGATGGGTAGGATGTTGCCATTTTTTAATGCAGTATTTTAGTAGCTGTAAAAACATCTGGTTTTAATTTTCAGGCAGAATACATCTTCTAGTAGTTCAAGTTTCAATAGAGAAACAGATGTAGGAAGTGAAAGAATTATCTGAATGTTATGTGCAGTGCTGAAAATGACATTATAGGAAGTGGCCACATTAATAAGTGACTTTATTTTACCGTGACTTTATTTTACCGTGAGGCAGTAAAACTATCAGTTCTATGATACATTTTGTCAAGACTGTTGGGAGCTACACACTAGTTGTTGATGATCATAGAATCATAGAGTAATTAGGGTTGGAAGGGACCTTAAGATCATCGACCTTGCACTAAACCATGTCACCCAAGACTCTGTCCAACTTGGCCTTGAGCACTGTCAGGTATGGAGCATTCACAATTTCCTTGGGCAATCCATTCCAGTGCCTCATCACCCTTACAGTAAAGAACTTCTTCCTTATAGCTAACCTATACTTCCCGTTTAAGTTTAAACCCATTACCTCTTGTACTATCACTACAGTTCCTAATGAAGAGTCCTTCTGCAGCATCCATGTGGGCCCCCTTCAGATACTGGAAGGCTGCTATGAGGTCTCCACGCAGCCTTCTCTTCTTCAGGCTGAACAGCCCCAACCTTCTCATCCTGTCTTCATATGGGAGATTCTTCAGCTCCCTGATCATCCTCGTGGCCCTCCTCTGGACTTGTTCCAACAGTTCCATGTCCTTTTTATGTTGAGGACACCAGAACTGCACACAATACTCCAAGTGGGGTCTCACAAGAGCAGAGTAGGGGGGCAAGATAACCTCCTTCGACCTGCTGGTCACACTCCTTTTGATGCAGCCCAGGGTACGATTGGCTTTCTGGGCTGCGAGCGCACACTGAAGCTGGCTCATGTTCATTTTCTCATGGACCAACACCCCCAAGTCCTTTTCCACAGGGCTGCTCGAAATCTCTTCTCTGCCCAACAGGATTTGAGCTAGGTGGAGACAGTGTGTCCAATGAGCTAAGACCAGGTTTTCATAAGTTGAGGACATTCTCAGAGATTTTCACTGGAATCTGTTGAGCACTCAGCTCTTTTACTCATGTAGTAGTAATAGTCTCAAGATTGAGTCTGAGTTTTCAAGTAGCCTTAAGACTGAGACTGAGCTTTCAGTCTCAGACTCCTGATGCTTGGTCAGTCCAAACCGGTCCAGACAGCTCGAACAAACTGCTGCCCCATGAACTTTCAGGATCCTAGGCCAAATAAAACTATTGCCTCCAGGCACCCCTTAGCTGCTAGTGTCTGCAGTCATGATGCCCAATTGACAGCTTCTGAGACTGTGGCCTTATTTTTTGTCATTCATCAAAGCATCATGCTTTGTCTTTCAATTAAGCACTACAAACTATGGACATTCTTTGATACAATAATTTATAGTGGCTTATTTTTTTTCTTACTTGACATTGATTCCTATAGTTCAGCAATTCTTATAGTATTAATCAACGTACTTTTATCAGCATTAATTTCTTGGTAAGTAATAAACTTCTTTCCCTTACATGTGTTCACAGTTATCTGTAACCTGGCAAATTTCTTGTAATTTTATTCACTTGTGTAGGTTCACTTCAGTTACTGTGGGTATTATGTCAGGTATAGATGAATTCATGTCACTTCATTTTGACAGCCACCCAATTCAGTTGAAATGAATTGTTTCATTAACTACTCATCAGGGCTGCTACATAATAATATATTATGTGAATATGTGAGATAACTCCAACAGGGAGGGAATTATTTTACTGAAATGGCAACATGAAAATTATTCATGCCCCAAGAGAAGACAAAAGCAAAATATATGAAAGCTTATGTGTCCTGCCTTAGAGAAGGTACCCTTCAGACTTCTCTGAAAACAGTATTTTTCCTAAATATAAAGAAAAACTTTGGGACTTCTCTAGAAAATAAAATTTTTGCTGGGGACTGCTTTTTGGTTTGTTTTTTGTTTGTTTGTTTGTTTTTTTTTGCTGGGGACTGTTATAAACAGCATATTAGCTGAAATTTGTGTGTGTTACTTTTCAAGTAGAAAAAGGAACAGATTTCCATTGCCATTAATCAGACTTTTCTCACTTGAAGGTTACTTTTCTTATCATTTGTGCACATTTAAAGCAAAGGTATGTTTTCTGCTTTCCCAAGAGATTTACAGAATAAATGTTTGAAAGCAAACTATTAGAAAAATGTATGATAAAAGTAGATATTTAGGTCCTAGTTCATTTCCACTTAATGAACTATAACAGCTGTAATGATCGACATTTCTCTGTACTGTTAAAGTACAAAATCTGCAAACAAATATATTTAAATCAAATACAACAATGATTTTTTATTACCTATCTATTACTTAAAGTTAAGACTGCATAGCTTTTTTTCGTAGCTTTCAGCCTTTGTGACCTTATAAAAGAAATCTGAACTGAGTATAATCTTATTAATAAGGTAAGGTGACATGACAGATTCTTTATGTAAAACTAACATAAAATTACATTTACATTTTAGATCTAAAATTTAGCAAGCATGCATACCCTTCTAAGACTATGTATAATGATATTCTGTAAAATAGAAATCCAAAGTCTGTTTCTACTGAAGTGTAAAAAATTCTGGTAGCATTTAGGATTTAATTTTTAAAAACACATGGGTTTTGGGGTCTATTTAGTTCATAGGATGAAGATGTGAGCAATTAATTCATAATAAAAATATAAATTATGTTTTTACTTCTGTGAAATTATATCAACTTATTTTGTATAGTACAGTATAGAACGCATAAGGGTGAAAGAATCATAAATACTGCAGTATACAAGAAATTTATTTTTACTGTGCTGTTTGGTTAAAACATGAACATTTCATATTCAAGAACAAACCAGAATGTGTCATTCATTTATAAATAGTTACTGAATGTCACACTCTGCTCTGCTTCAGAGCAAACAAATGATATTACTAAGGCTTGTCAAGTGCATAATTTTCTTTGCAAGATAGAAATTAAAAATTCCATCAAGGAAGTTAGAGAAGGTTTTGCAATTCCAAGTTTTATTTAAATAGCATCTTATGCTCCAGTACTGTGACCTTTGACCTAACTACTACATAATGCCTATGGCTTTAGGATGTGTTCTACTTAAGTAACAATTTCCCTTGTGCATGTTTTTTTGTTCCAATAAAACAGAACTGAGGTAGGTACTCTACACACATAATAAGAAAAAATTAATTTCCAAAGGAATTTATATCTAAGAAAATGTTAGGGCAGTAGGTAGATACAATAGGCAGGTAGAGGATATAAGATTCATACAGGAAAAATGAAAGAACTTTATTAAAGCAATTGTCCTAGTGGGTGAGCTCCCTAACCATTAGGCACCAAGGGCAGTGTGGGAGATGTCTGAGGAAAAAGCAGCCTGTTTGTTAAAGCTGACAGCCTTGGGAAGTAGTTGCTACTCATTACTGAAAGAAAAAAAAAGAATGAGGAGGAAGAACTAAGATATTTATGGCCATTGCAATGGAAAAGAGTTGTATTTGATACATATGGAATGAAGGCGAGAGCAGGTGATGTAGGGTAACCAACAACTAAGAAGATCTCTGAATTGGCTGAATTTAAGTATGGCATACATATCCAGAACTCACACTAAATATGATGGATTACCAGGTGGGACCATATACACATTACAAGGGGCTGAAAATTGTTAATATTATTATCTTACCTGTTTTAAGGAGGTCAGTTTATTTCCCTTCAGACTTGTCCTTTTGTGCACCAGATTTATTTCTGTGTATATGATTTCCATTTTGAGGCATCTTAATGTTCTCCAAATGCTGATGTAATGGTCAGGCTCACATTGTGAAGAAGAGAACATTTACTAATGAATTGGTACAAACATCGTAAGCAACAAGGCAACAGCACCATTTAGTTCCTTTCTTCATAATGATACAGAACTTCAGAAACTGGAGTCCACTGAAAGAGAAGAGATGTGATGTAAAGATGCCATGGGAGGAACAACTCTGGAGACAGGCTAATTAAGTACATAATGTGATTTTGACTTCTGCTCTGCTTCTTAATGCATGATGGCTTCTTAAGTTCCATGCACACTGGAGTCTTACAGAGAAGCTGAGTAGAATCAAGGCAACACAGATAGTATGTTTTACATTTCCTGGGTTTACCAATTCCTGTCAAAATAGCACATGCCCATATATTCTTGGCCACGAAGTCCTGTAGGGAAGTATGTGCTCCCTAGGGGAGGTAAGAGGGGAAAATATATGAAGGTGATGCTCTCAAGAGCAAAAATCATTTCAGCTTTTTCCTTCTGTGCAAAGTAAAACTTGTTCACAAGGATTGCATAAATATTTCTTATAGAAATGGAAGGTGAAACATAGTAATTAACCCCCCCAAAACCAAACCAAATCAAGCCAAAACCCCCAAAGAAACCCAAAACCAAACCCACCACTCTTGCAAATGAATGTAATTTATGTAATTTTAACTGACTGAGCTATAAAATTAAACCTTCGCACTGTCTTACTCTATGGAAATGACAATGGAAAGAATTGTCAGCCCTGCTCCAAATCCATGCTGGCAATGGCAAGAAGGGAAGTATTTTGGGGGCAGAAATAAGTTGACAGTGTGCTAATTTGACAGGAATAAATTCAAGATAGTAAATTATACCATTGTTGGTAATTTGCAAAGGGGAGGGTAATTCTTCTGCCTTGAAAAAACATTCTGTGAAATTACAGGTCTAGCTCCATTAAAAAAAAAAAAGCACAAGGCTTTGGATTCTGTAACATTTAAAATGCTACTTTTCTGTCTTCTTTTTTAAAGTAACATTATTCATAGAATCAGCTTTTTCTCTTCCAACCACCTAATTTGTTCCTATGCATTATGAAAATGCATGTAAATTTAGCTTCTAGAGAAGCCTTTGCATAGATATTCTCATGGAAAATTTTTATGTGTTGATAAATTGATTTGTGATAAGGCTCCAGAAATGAACGCATGGCTCCTGTGTCTCTGGCTGAAATTTTGTGGGTGTGACGCAATCTAAGATTCACATTCAGGCCTAACAGGTTATAGCCATCTTGCAAATCATGGTATAGCTAGGGCTTTTTAAGGGACACAGAGGAACAGTATCAATGATTCTTTGTTTTGTTTTGTCTGTGGTTTTGGGGTTTTTTTTGCTTGTTGGTTTGTTTTGTGGGTTTTTTTTTTAAGAATATCCAAATCTTTAAAAAATTACTTTGAGTGTATTAGTTTATCTTATATTTGTAGAGAGAGGAGCTTTCTTGTACAAAGCCTTTCTCTTAAGTAAAACTTTGACTCTCAATTCTGCATCTTTCTGTGTGGACCTACCTGGTGGCGGTATATTTGAGTCAGTGAGCCTGCTGGTCGCCATGGACATTTTCTCAGTTTTATACCATTCAAATTAGGTGTTTAATGGCATGAGACACTGAAAAGACATTCCTTTGTGCAAGTGTTTCCTGCCACCATTTTGAGCAAGCAACTCACATGTAACAGCTAAACCACTAGAAAACCTTGCCACACACACAGCTCCCATGAAAAAGTAGTAAGTTTTTTAGCAGTTTCTTAAAATAGTGTCCAAAATTTTCTGTCAGTCTCTTAAGGTTAGCTCTACTGGGGAAATGATCTATCACTGACAGTATTTTTGACTACCATTAGTTTGTAGACTTCCAATGGCTGACAATGTTTCCCTTCAACTAATATTTGCAAGATGCAAGTAGTAGCTTGGACCAATGCTGTGTCTACACTAGGAGGTTTTAATAGTGGCATTTCCACTGGGAAGCAGCTGCTAGTTTTGTGATTTCACTTTTTTGGGTGCCCACAGAGGTGCTTTTGTCAGCACAGTACCTCTATGCAGCAAGAAGCTGCACTGACAAAAGATGTGTTGCATTGCCTGCAGGAGTTATATGCTCTCCTATGCCATCATTCATGGTGCTGCTTTTGGAGGCTTCATTACAAGGCACCATGGGAGTCCGCATATATTCTTTTGTCATACTGTGATAATTTTAACATACGCTGTGTACAAGGATGTATTTTTGCAGCTAATACGTATGGGTTTTCTTCCTTAAATATCCTATCTGCCAGAGTTAACTCTTACTTTAAACTGTGCACTGTTTCTTATCAGAAAAAGAAGAAAAGTACAGAGAAATTGCTGGCAAACCTAGCTGAAAGGTACTGCAGTAGCAGGTAGTGCTATGGTGGTAAATATTGCAGTGGGCTCAGAGAAAGGACAGATGGTTGCCTATGCCTGGCTGCAGGTAACGTTTTCTAAGGACAGAGTCATCAGGTTTTGGGCAGTGATGTGAGAACCTGTGTTACCACTGCATCATGGACCAGCTAGCAACATGTAAGCACAACTTAGAAAATATGCACCTAAAATGCTTTTCATGGTTGTGGCAGACAACAGCTATTACAGGGAAGGATAGCTCTGGTTACTTTATGTTGGAAATCCAGCCATAGTCCAGTCTTTTTACTCTTAATCCCAGAATCACAGAATCCTTAGAGTTGGAAAGGACATCTGGAGATCATCTAGTCCAGCCCCCATGCCAAGGCCACAGCCTTGTAGAAATTTATTTTAAACTCAAGATCACAGTACTAGGAAACTAAGTCAGTGTATTTTCTTACACATATTAGTATTTTTCTCGTGGAAAAATGCAAGCTAACCTATTTTTTGCAAGGAATTATTTAAACAGTCTATTGTTTTTTATTTTTTATTTACATAATAAAGGATTTATTCTGCACTGTACTGATTTGTGAAATATTCTCTGTTTCTTCTGCCAGAATGTGCATTTGGTTGCTTTCAGCATTCTCTTCCACCCTGCGTGTAAGCATAAAGTAATAAATTCAAAAGGTCATTCTTTTGTTTTCCCCTCTGCATTTGTTTTGATGCTGTTTTGAAAGATGAGTGTTAAGCGAGTGATTTCTGGGGTGCATGAGCAAAGTGAAAAAACAACAAAAGCTGCCTGCCCCTGTCTTAGGATGGGCTCTTCTTCAGTCCTTTCTTAGTGAGTTGCACTGCTGGCTTAAGTGATAACTCATCTCCCTGTGGGGTCTGCATCCTCTATACTTCTTTTAAGGTTTGACGTGCCCTCTGCTGTCATATGTCTGTTGTTCTGTTGTGCTTGCTGTTATCTTGTGCACAGATTTGGTTGTGCTTAGGAAGCTTTGGTCCATATAAGAATTAGCAAGCAGTAGAAGCTAGTGCTAAGAGCAGCTGCAGGCTTTTTATTGGTCCTCCTGGCCATGTGGCAGGGCAGCCCCCTTCCAGCTTTACCTACCAGTGTGGCTCATGGTAACTTTCCCTAAACTTTGATATTATCTCTGCAGTGTCTATATTAGATGCTTTTATCCACAAAGTGGTTTCCTATCTGTCATCTTGCACTATGTTTCATCTCCACCAGCTGAAATATGTCTAGGCAGACAGGTCTGATTCACTGATTAAAATGACCCTGCTCTTTAAAATAAGGCTACGAAATAACTAAACTCCTGAGCCTTTCCTTAACTCTGTCTTAGCCTGGTAACTATCTAATGTAGACTGGCTTGTGAGGATGAATAGAGGCTTTCCAGAAATAGGCTGAGGACTTGGAAGATGAGGTGGTAGCAGCATTCAAAATTGTGACCTGTGAAAAAGGCTTCAAAATTATGACCCTTTTCCTGAAAACGGACCTGTAGTGGGGTTACTCCTAAAGTAGTGTTTGTTTTGCCAGGACTACAGCATTCATGCAGGCATTTTAGCCTAGGAAGATATTCTACCAGTGACAATGGCCTTTGAGGAACTCATTTAAATAATAGGATTTTATCACTAAATTTGAACCATTAGGTTCAACATATTCACTAACTTAAGTTTTATAGGTGCAATTTTATTCTGTAAAGTAGGACTAATAGTTTTTTTACAAAGAGACTGGAAGATAGGACTAACAGTGGGAGATCATTTTCATGTTGTAGAGCCTATCTAATTTGTTCTCAGGGTTCATAAAATATTTAAGAACATGTATTTGACTGTCATTCAACATCAACATAAGCTACCTGACTGAGATGTCAGTAAAAATAATTGAGTAACTGGATTTTCAGAGGAATTTGGTAATGAGTATCTTACCTTCTGACTCTCTGATTTAAAGAACTTCTGAAAATGAGGTTACAGAACTTGTGGTCGATTAATTAGGATGTTTGGAGGGAATCCTGTATTGCTTTTTCTTCAGTCATCCAGAACCTTTCCTTACTTGGAATGTATACAGAAGGAATCTCATAGAAAATTAAAAAACTGTTCATGCTGTTTTGAAATTTTTGTATGCATTAATGGGGAGACTGGGGGCAATAGCAGCAATATTTTGGTGAACCTATTCAAGAAATGTAGGATTTTTACAGCGGAAGGGAAAATGTAGGAAGTATTTCACTATTCATGAAATCGTGTGTTCTGCTCACTAGCTTTAGAAATATGTATCTTAGGAAGTATTTCACACCTCTTCTACAACAGGGTACTCTGGAAGATTTGAAGCCTTATTCAGACAAAACTCCCAAGACAAGTAGTACAGCTATATCACGCATGGTTTTCTGACAATATCATTTGGGAGCAGCAAAGATCGTTGTTATTTTTAATTGGGGATGGGGGTGGTTGTGGGATTTTTTGTTTGGTTGTGGGGTTTTTTTGGTTTTTTTTGGGTTTGAATATTTTTGTTTGTTTAGTTGATTGCTTGTTTTTTTTTCTCCTCCAGACAGAAAACAACACTTGAGAAAAACCAGTTAGTTGCTAATAATTGGCACTACAGCTTTAGGGGAGGTGTTAACCATTAGTATTTGGTCCGTTATAAATGCTGTCACCTGCCTGATGAGGGTTATTTCTCTCCTTTTGCTTTCAGCAGCCATGTTTCCCAGCACACAGACAAGTGGAAGTGCACCAGCATCTGGGGCACTGTCCTTGTGCCACCCCAGCAGCCACCTTTCCCCAGGACATAATGTACAGGGTACTGCTGTCCATCCTCTGCTCTCAGCTGTAGACTCAGACAGGTAAGACCAGCCCCTACTTTTCCCATGCTGAGTCTGGGATGGGACTGCCTTCAGAGCTGCCAAGATAGGTGGAAACTGAATTGTTGGTGTGAAAAAAGTCACTGGTGGCAGCTGCCAGGTAAGGATTGCTCTGGTAACGGGTTTACCATGGGAAGGAGAGGTGAAAGAGGTTCTGTTATCCCAGCCTGGGCTTTCCATTGAGACAAGGAGGCACAAAAGCACAAAATGTAATCAGTTCTAAATAATGTTAAGTTTGATGGCTTGGTAATGGAAAATAACTGTGGTGCTTGAAGGTAGTTGACATGGTTTCAGGTCCTTAGGACCTCAGTACAAAAGGTGTAAGAAAAGCAGAATAGAAAAACAGGACCTGGGGATGGGGAGTATCTGGGACTAGCAGATGTCCAGGGTGGGCACAGTTAAACTAACTGATAAGTAGAAGGACCGGATGATTGCTATAACTGTAATGTTAATTAAGCTGGTTATGAAGATTGTTGGGAAAAGTAAATGACCCTTAAAGACCACCATCACATTTTTGTATGCATGTGGGAAACTTTCTGGAAAATGCTATAATATGCCCAGTGACCATATAAGGATGGCCTGCATAGCAATACGGGGACACATGTTAGGAGGACCTATTCCCTGTGTCTCCCAGCGCTGCAATAAAGAATACCTGCTTGTCAGCTTGAAACTCTGTTGGCGAGTTTGTTCCTGGAGTTTTCTCCGGATCACCATCCATCTCTTCTTCAGGGACTTCCTCAAATCCCCTCTTGATCTCCACCAGTGGACTTAGCGTGGAAAGTCATTCTAGGTGGGAAACTAAATTCCAGAGGATCCTAGCCATACCTTATAGAATGGAGGCCCTGAGATTCATATTTCTGTTTTCTTGAAGTAGGAGAGTCGTATTCCGTCAATACTCTCTCAATGCTTAGTATTTCTGCAGGCACTTGCCCCCTTTTTTCTTGGCATCTTATTAAGACCAACAGACAAGAAAGAGTTCTTAATTAACTGGGTTTGAGAGCTTCATTTATAGTCAGGATTTATTTTATGCTGGGTAGGTACCAACCCTTTGACCTTCACTGTTTCCATGATTGTAGGTATTTCAGTGATGTGAAAGCAGATTGCCTGAAATTGGTTTAATTTTTATATTTGACATTCCCTAAATTATTTTCAGCAATCTTTCAAATTATTTATATAGTGCATGGTATTGTATATTTCCACGTAGTTCATTGAACCAGAAATCTACCAGATTGCTAAACTGAAGAAACCTAAACAAATAGTTTTTCAGTCGATAGGTCAGGAAAATACATCATTACACAAAATACCGAATTCTTACTATTACGTATAAGGATTCTTAAACATTATTTTGATAATCTCCCTATCCCCCCATTTTTCAGTGCTCTAAATGATAAATTGCTGTATTTCATTACCGTAATTCAAAGTATTTAATTTCCTTGAGTGACAGAAATGCCAGTAATTTGGACAGCACAAAGTGTTCAATTATAAACCTCAAAAGAACATTCACTAGATTTCAATTACTGATAAAAGAGCATAATTTCTTTGGAGAAAAGCAGTACTCACTCTGCCTTGTATCAGGAAGACGGAAGAGCATGATGGCTTGGAGAACTGACAAAAGGTAAAATTGGTTTCAGACTGCACATGTGAATTCAGCCAGTCCTGGAGCCACTGGAAGTTGTTGAGCTTTTTGTACACCAGTCTGAGATGAAACTTGCCATTTCATTATCATCGTAGCTCATCCAGTGGTTCAGTCCTTCCTCTCCAGTCCTGGCCACAAAGTCCTGAACTTTTTCCTCTGCCAGGGATCTGGCCCTCTGTGTAAACTCTGAGGCTGCCCATGACCTATTTCCTGACCCAGAGGCTTTACTCCTCAATAAAGTTTTCTCTGCAGTGCATGAACTGTCCAATGTCCATACCCAGCAATTGCCAGAGCATGAGTTCACAGGCAGGGACAGATCAACAGTTACTACAGGCATAAATTTCATGATGAAAAACAGCAATCTTCTCATTAGCTCATTTTTGAGGCTGCTGTAGGACCAGAACAGACATGTTTAGAGTACAACTCAACTCATAAAGTCCTTGAGTGTTTTACAGACCTCAGGATACTACAACCCTCTACAGAAGAGCAATAAAAACCTAGTGTAATACACTCCTTTCTCATAAGTTAACAGTATGCACTCACTCTGAAAAGGCTTTAACTGCTAATTCCCATATGTGGAGCTACTTTGGCCTGAAAAGAAAGGTGCAGTATCTTCATTTAGGTAGTGTGACAAATGGTAATTTAAATTCAGAAAAGAAAAAAAGTATTGCAACAGCATTGGCTGGATTACAGAGCATACAGTACAAATTATGGGAAATGTTTAAAACATAAGCTATTGCAGAATCTGAATCTTGGGTCTAATACAGTCCAGTCACTAATATGAAACACTACAACTATTAAACGAAAGTACTAATTGTTAATAGTACCCAGAAGCATACGTATAAAAGAGAATATGTACTTCACTTCCTTTTCACATATTTTTTGTAATAAAAGGGCATTCAAGGAAGGTGGAAAAACAATTTAATTAAAACCCAGATAAAAAATCCAAATTGTGTTTATCTGGCTTAGGTAACATGTACAGCTCGGTGCCCCAAAATTGATGGTGTCAATGGCTCAGTGTCCAGCGGAAGGGTAACAAGTAGTGTACACATAAATGACAAACTCTTAAAAGTGGAGGTGGCAGCATGTCTAACCCTGAACCCAAGTCATAGAATTATAATCATTTAAGTTGGAAAAGACTTTTAAGATCATTGAGTCAAATCATAAACCTAACATTGCGAAGTCCACCACTAAACCAGGTCCCTAAGTGTCACATCTACATGTCTTTTAAATACCTCCAGGGATGGTGGGTGAACTCTTCCCTGGGCAGCCTGTTCTAGTGCTTGGAAATCCTTTGGTGAAGAGTTTTTTCCTAATACCTAATCTAAACCTCTTCTGGCAAAACTCAAGGCATTTCCTCTTGTCTTATCTCTTGTTTACTTGGAAAAAGAGACCAACACCCACCTCGCAACAACCTCCTTTCAAAACCAGTTTTTCTCTAGCCTGTTTCTACACTTTTTTCCAAAGGCATTTTTTTCCTTTCCTTTGAATTTGTAAGAAGTTCAGTTCTCTAATTCAACACAGCCACAGAAAATGCTGAGAGAGACATTATATATCTCTGTCTTCAGGGAATCTGTATATTGAGGTGGCCACTCACAGCTTCCTTCCTTAAATTCTACTTCAAATTCCACTTAAAATCTCCTTTCTTATTCTCACCAAGGAGCTCATGATGCCGGTCAGAGGGACTGTTCTTTCTTCCTGCCATCCCTTCTTTGGGCTAGCTGGTTCACTGGTTTTATCTGAAAAAGCAGTTTCTGTGTTCCTAAAGCTTGAGCATAAAAAGGATTTTAGGTGCTTATTGATGACTGGAAAGAAGGATATAAAATTAAAGTCTTCTGGCACATGCAATCTACTCTACTGAGACACCATGGGGATAGAAACCTGCTGTGGGATCATTGCTGTGCAGGGTGTGAGCCAGAGCTTGACAGGCGTAAATTTGGTAACTGAACAAAATGATGGATGAAGATTTCTTTTTGTACCGGCCAGAATATTTTTGTTAAGGGAGAAAATTTGCTTTCTTTTTTTTTTTTAAAGATAACTTGCAACATAATAATCATTGGAGAGAAGCATGTTGTATCACAGGTCAGTAAATAGTTTAGGGTTTTGTTATTCTTACCAAAATGGAAGAATTCATGACTTTTGGGCAAAACATCTACCTTTTCAAAATTGTGCTTGGCAAAAGGTATGCCTTACTTACAAGTGTTTTTAAATCATGTTTATTTGATTGTCATTGATAGGTAGCTGGACTAATTTACAGTGCAATATGATAGGTTACAGAATACTGTATTACAACAGAATGTTTTCCTTATTGAGAGTGGACTGATGAGCTGCAAAGGCACTAGCACACAGCATAAAGTGTGGAGCCAAACTAAAATGTGAGATCACAGCAGAGTAATAGGGCTGTTCAAAGCAGAGGATGGAGACATAACCCCAGACTTTCTGGATTTGACTAGAAATACAAAGACAATCAAGAGGGATTGGGCATAGAGCGTTCCTCACTTAACATTGTCAGAAAGTGCAGCACTGCACAGGACACTGTTAGAGAGAGCAACTTGCTACAGGGAGCTTATAGTTTTCTTCTCTGTCCAGCCAAAACTTCAACTGTAGTAAGATGAAAGCCTGATCTCCTGGCTGTGTCAGCTACATAACATCTGGATATGTTCCAAACTGTTGCAGCTCAATAAAAAGGATTAGAGCTCAACCAGTTAGCAGATCAACAACCCCATAAATTGTGTTTAGAAATTGTTCAAAGAAAACTATGTCCTCTAAATTAAAAAACAAACCAAACAAACAAAAAAAAAAATGACAACACAAAACCAAACAAAGAGTTTTCAGCTTTAATATTCTGCTTCCATTTTGGAAGCATATCAAAAGCAACCATAAGGATTGATGTTGTCTAAATGATGGCACATGCTTTCCTTCTCAGTGCAAAGTTGAAAAAAAGTAGTCTCGGACCACATTTCCTGCTCTCCTTGCTCCATTTAGGAAGGGGAGCTGCTACTTGGCTATTCTGAGAGCTCTGTGCACTGGAAGCAGATTAACAGTTTCCGAGCAGTTACAAACTGGTCCTGATTGTTTCAGGAAAAAAAGTAAATTTACAGTTCCTCCAGTAACACACTGCGATTTGTTCAGGGACAAATCTTGACTGAGACCAGGTTAAGTTTCTCTTTTTGTAGGCAGAAGGGAAGTAAAAGTAGACCACTTTAGTCACCCATACAAGTAAGTCAGGTATTTGTGAAGTGAGTGATTCATAAATCACTACAAAGACCACTAAAGTCTACTATAAAGGAGTCCTGTCTGGCTACACAAAATACTACATTGTTATTTTTGGAAGGATGTTTTTGATGTTAAACCAAATGTGAAATTTTGCAACCCAAAAAGCCAACCGCATGCTGGGCTGCATCAAAAGGAGTGTGACCTGAGCAGGTCAAAGGAGGTGATCCTGCCCATCTACTCTGCTATCATGAGACTCCACCTGCAGTGCTGCATCCAGCCCTGGGGCCTCCAACACAAAGAAGATGTGGACCTGCTCGAGTGAGTCCAGAGGAGGCCATGAAGATGATCAGAGGGCTCACGCACCTCCCCTATGGCAACAGGATGAGAGAGTCAGGCTTGTTCAGCCTGGAGAAGGCTTCTGATAGCAGCCTTCCACTACCTAAAGGGGACTACAGGAAATCTGTAGAGGGACATTTTACAAGATGATGATTTTTAAGGTCCCTTCCAACCCAAACCATTCTGTGATTCTGTGACGTGTAAAACTTTGCTTATTTGAGTTTTGAAAAGGATTCTTCCCTGTTACTGGCTGCTGGTTAAAACGATTTTTCAGAAATTAATTTTCACAAATGACTTTTGAAAACACAGAGGATGATATCCCATGATTTTTTAAGTAATAGTAGTAATAAAAACCACCTGTGTATTGCTTTTAATCTCTAGCAGCAAGTAACAGTCTTTCCACAAGAATGCTATACAAAAAACTAACTCCAGTCCCTATGCAGGTAGTTTCACCATGTCTTTAAAAACCTCTGATAGTCTTATCACAATATAGCTACTTATTTATATAGTATTTTTTTCATATTACCTATGTTATTATGAAACACACACGTACTTCATCCTATTCCTCCTTACTATGTCTTTAAGTCTACACGGTATCAGTTATCTGGAGCAATGACATATTAGACATATTAAAGACTCAGTGTCTCAGTAGTGACATCTTTATTTCCTTCAATAATATATGTGTTTACGAAGTTAATATCAAACAGCACAAAGACCATTCAAATCCTATCTGATACACCTAAGAATGCAATTCTCAAAGAAAACTAAATAGGCAGTAAACAATTCAAAGTTCATTTTGAAACTTGGCTGTACTCCAAATATAAATTATGGATCTTCCAGAAACATAGTGAATAGGTTTCAAATTAATTCATAATCACACAGATAATCACAGCAAGTCGAGAATGGTGATTCTGATCATGTGTGGCAGATACTGATTCTGAGCTGCAGCAGAAAAGATCTCGTGTGCCCTGAGGCGCAGTTACAGCATGTATATGACCCAGTCCAGAGGTGTTCTGCAGCATGACTACCACAGTTGCACCTTCTGTTGTGTTTGGATTAAGATTACAGTTTCCTTACAGTTCTGCAGGAAAAACATTCTTTATTACTGGGTTAAAAAGAAAGTAATCCAGTGAACTGAGGTTCCAGCCTCAGAACAACAGGGATCAGTTTTAGGATCCTGCCAGTGTTAACTAAGCACTCCTCCTACCAGCAGCTACTTAGCACACCCACCACAGAGAAGGGTAGGTAAGTACTCTTGTTCAGCACAGGCTTCCAGCTTGCCTTCAGGACTGGGGAAAGAAGACAGGTTTGTGACAGGAATACCACACCAGATTTCACTCATGGTCTTGCAGAAATAGCCTGGCTTTGTGTTGTCAGCCTTCCTGAATCTCCTGCTATGGATGAGAAAGTGACTTTCAGCCATTCCTGAGCCCAGGATGAGCTTTTGTTCCCTAATCAGATCTCATCAGTCCAGTGTGTAGTTTGGTCACTGGGGCATAGACCAGATCTCTTATAGTCTCATCTGCAAAAATTACTGTTGCACCTATTTGTAATGTGCATTGTAGTATGCAGTTTTAAGGAAGTGTAGAGAAATGTTAAACTTACAAACTCTGAAATTCTCAAAGTAGTGTGTAACCTTGTAGTGCCAGTACAGACAGAGCCGTGCAAACCACACCACTGATGTGATGAACCTCTGTGGCAGCTGCACCACCAGGTGTGGTCTGAATGGTCCTCCTCTTCTGCCAGGCTTGTAAGCTTATACTCTGAGGTCAGATCAACATTTGATGTGGTCAGACTGTTCCCCATTGGAGTCAATTTAACACTGGCCTTTAGATTATATTGACTTTAGATTGTTTATTTTCAAATAGCTCTCTGTAGTGTACAAAAAATTAATAGAACTTGAAACCTGAACATGGGCCTGAAACTATTATCCAACTCATTAGTGTCCAATGACCAGAACTGACCCCTCACTTACAGAGTGGAAGGACAGCTATTGATTGACAGATACAGTTCATATAAAGTCTTACAATGAGACAGTTGGCAATGCCTCAAAAATCAGGTTCTCTGTGAGGTATCTCCTATTAAGACTTAAACCCACGCACAGAAGGTAAAAGGAGTTTTCCATGACAAGGGTGCAATTCAGCCTTTTAACTTCCCAGTTCTCACATTTGAAAATGTATCTTTTCTGTATCTGGGCTGCACCCTGCTCTTTTGGAAGTCTCTATACAAACTGCTAAACATTGTAGTGATGTAAGTAAAGTAGGAACATTCTTTAGCTCTTACCTATTGGGTATTTTACAGTTCTGTGATTCTGAACTCCTAGGTTTGTTGCTCCAGCTCCTTCTCCTCACATCAGCACCCAGGGAATTTCAGTTCCACACCACATGATGCAGAGACAGATGCCACAACCTCCCCACCTTCCACAGCCTGAAGGAATGTCTCTAAAGATATACCAGCCAGCAACAAACACTTCTCTTCAACCAAATAGCCTCCACAACCAAGGTAAGAAAGAAGAATCCTCATCACTCATGTTAGCTGTTTGTCACTATTTTGAAGCTTCAAAGTAAGCTCTTCAAGGGATGGTGCTGGTATTTTTAAGGCACCTTACTTTATGAAAAACTCTACGAAGTAGCCTTTAGGAACCTGTCTTTATACTGCCTTAAAATTCTTAGATAATTGTCATTCATCTTAATACAGAGTTACGAGTTTCTCTTCAGATATATTTTCAGAGCTGTTGTTGTCATATGACATATGTGGAGACATGCCAGAGCAGAAACAATAAATTCCTAGCATATGGGGCTAGGAAGGGATCAGGTTAGCCTTCCTATTTCCACAGTATATTTTATTCAGATTCATTATTTTGCTGAATATTTGGCAAGAACTCATCTTCCAGAAACACATACAGACATTAAGGTCTGTGTTTCTACCTGGAACAAAAGTTATCTTTGAGTGCATAGATGGCTTTACCACCTTCTTCCTCTCATGGTCATGGGAAAAGCATTGTAGAAACTGGGAGCAGGCAAACAGGGTGGGTCGAAGCATTTTGCCCTGCAGTTTGCGTGGGCAGGCGAGAGGGATGGCGAACACTCGTTGTATGAGCAGGGCCCAGTCTGGGAGCTCTGCTCTGGCTGCCCCAGTGGTGGCCACTGTAGGCACCCAGACAGAGCCGATGAGAGGGGAGGCTGCAGTGCAGAGCTCGGAGTGTAGAGAGTGCCTGCATTGGTCTGGTGAGGGAAAGGTGCACAATGGGCAGGGCTGCACTCGGTGCTCCCTGGTGGAGGTCCTCCTGCAGCAAGGGCTGAGCTGCGGGATGCTGTTAATAGGCTACAAGATGTCAGGGTAGCTGAGAGGAAGCAGGAATGCTTGCTCCCTGCCCAAACTGTGCAGGGGCCTCAAGCTTCCCCTCTAGCTCATGGAGGAAAGAAGGAGGCTGTTAATATGGGAAGCTGGGAATTAGTGACAAAAAAAAAAAAAAAAAAAAAAAAAAAGGAGGAAAAGGACAATTAAAAGCAAGGGACTTCCTCCTAAATCTGTTGTCCCCGTGCAGAACTGCTTTGCTGTCCTGCAGGGGGCTCATGAGGAAACACACTCGCACCAGAAACAGCCGGCTGATAAACTGGTAAAGAAGATCGCTACAGGTGCTGCCAGGATAAAGCGGCGGGTTGTAGTAGTAGGGGACTCTACTTTGAAAGGGACAGAAGCACTCATCTGTCAGCCTGACCCGGTCTCAAGGGAGGTGTGTTGCCTATCAAGGGCACGGATCAGGGATGTGGCAGAGAGGCTGCCTGCTCTAGTAAGTCCCACAGACTATTACCTGCTTCTAGTGATCCATGTGGGTGCTAGGGCTATAGGTAGTAGTAGCCTGGGGAACATAAAGAAGGACTACAGAGTCCTGGGAGAGGTCGTTAGGGGCTCTGGAGCTCAGATAGTCTTTTCGTCTATTCTCCAGGATACAGGGGAGGACCTAAAAAAAGCTAGGAGGACTAGGAAGGTTAATAAATGGTTAAAAGGGTGGTGTCACAGTCAGGGTTTGGGTCTCTTGAACATGGGACCCAAGTTTGCAGACCAGGTCTAGTGGGGGCTGCTGGAGCTGGTCTGATAACGAAGGGGAAGAGCAGTCTTGGTAGGAGGCTTGTCAGACTGGTCAAGGAGGCTTGAAACTAGATGTGCTGGGGGAGGGGGGCATCATTCCATCCCAACACACCCAGTCAGTTGCCAGCACCTATAATAAATGCTCAGAACAATGTAGAGATATTCCAGCTGCTCCAGCCAATGAGCCGGATTCATTTGGAGTTTGGCTCAGATGCCTCTATACAAACACTCGTAGCATGGGGAACAAACAAGAGGAATTAGAGATGTGTGCACGTCTACCCAGGTATGATATAATAGGCATCACAGAAACATGGTGGGATGGCTTCTATGCCTGGAGTGTTGGAATGGAAGGTTACAGGCTCTTTAGAAAAGACAGGCCTGGCAGGCGGGGAGGGGGAGTTGCCCTTTATATTAGGGATAGGCTGGAGAGTATGGAACTCTGTCTGGGGACGGGTGAGCACTTAACAGAGAGTCTGTGGGTCAGGGTTAAAGGGAAAACAGCTATAGGAGACACTACTGTGGGGATCTGCTCTAGACTGCCTGATCAAGGAGAACCTGTGGATGAAGCACTCTATAGACAGATAGGAGCAGCCTCACACTCACAGGCCCTTGTTCTCATGGGGGACTTCAACCACCCTGACATCTGTTGAAATGACGGTACCTTCTGCAAGTAATAGGGGAACCAACAAGGAGAGGTGCCATGCTTGACCTCCTGCTCACCAACAGGGAAGGGCTCGTTGGAAATGTGACACTCCAGGGCAGCCTTGGATGCAGCTATCACGAGATGGTTGAATTCAAGATCCTCAAGATAGTGAGAAGAGCGTGCAGCAAGCTCACTGGTCTGGGCTTCAAGAGAGCAGACTTTGGCCTCTTCAGGAACCTGCTTAGTAAGGTTCCATGGGATATAGCCATACAGGGCAGGGGGGCCCAAGACTCTTGGTTGATATTCAAGGATCCCCTGCTCCAAGCTCAGGAGTGTTGCATCCCAACTAGAAGGAAGTGCAGCAGGAGGGCAAGGAGACCTCCTTGGATGGATAAGTTGCTGCTGAGGAAAATTCAGATGTAAAAAGAGGCTTATAAAAAGTGGAAGCAAGGACAGGTGGCCTGGGAAGAGTACAGGGATGTTGTCCGGGAAGCTAGGGACCAGGTTAGGAAAGCTAAGGCCCAGTTAGAATAAAACTTGGCTAGGGATGTGAAAGATAACAGGAAGGGATTCTTCAGGTACATAGCAAATAAAAAAAACAAACCGTGGACAACATAGGCCCCCTCAGGAAGCTCTCAGGAGAAGTGGCTACCCTGGATTTGGAGAAGGCTGAAGTTCTGAATGACTTCTTTGCCTCGGTCTTCTCCAGCAAAGGCTCTGACCGCACCACCCAAGTCTTGTAAGGCAGACGCAGGGACAGTGAGAATGAAGACCTTGGGCCCACTGTAGGAGAGGAACTGGTTCTAGACCATCTTAAAAATCTGAACATGCACAAGTCCATGGGACCTGATAAAATTCTTCTGTGAGTCCTGAAGGAGTTGGAAAATGAAGTTCTGAGCCACTGGCCATTATATTTGAAAAATCATGGCAGTCAGGTGAAGTTCCTGACAACTAGAAAAAGGGAAATATAACCCCCATTTTCAAGAAGGGGAAAATGGATGACCCAGGGAATTACAGACCAGTCAGTCTCACCTCTGTGCCTGGCAAAATCTTGGAGCAGATTCTCCTGGAAGACATGCTAAGGCACATGAAAAACAACAAGGTGCTTGGTGACAGCCAGCATAGCTTCACCAAGTGGAAATCCTGCCTGACCAAATTGGTGGCCTTCTATGATGGGGCTATGGAAGTGATGGACAGGTGTGGAGCAGTTGATGTCATCTACCTGGACTTGTGCAAAGCATTCGACACTGTCCCACAAGACATTCTTGTCTGTAAATTGGAGAGACATCAATTTGATGGATGGACCACTCGGTGGATAAAGAACTGGCTGGAGTTGTGGTCAATGGCTCAGTGTCCAGCTGGAGACCAGTAACGACTGGTGTCCGTCAGGGATCGGTGTCAGGACCAGTCTTGTTAAACATCTTTGTCGGTGACATAGACAGTGGGATTGAGTGCACCCTCAGCAAGTTTGCCAATGACACCAAGCTGTGTGGTTCGGTTGATACGCTGGAGGGAAGGAATGCCATCCAGAGGGACCTTGACACGCTTGTGAGGTGGGCTGATGCCAACCTCATGAAGTTCAACCATGCCAAGTGCAAGGTCCTACACCTGGGTTGGAGCAATTCCAGACACAGCTACAGGCTTTGCAGAGAAGAGATTCAGAGCAGCCCTGCGGAGAAGGACTTGGGGGTGCTGGTCAATGAGAAAATGAACATGAGCCGGCAGCGTGTGCTTGTAGCCCAGAAAATCAACCATTTCCTGGGCTGCATCAAAAGGAGTGTAACCAGCAGGTCGAAGGAGGTGACCCTGCCCCTCTACTCTGTTCTTGTGAGACCTCGCTTGGAGTATTGTGTACAGTTCTGGTGTCCTCAACATAAAAAGGACATGGATCTGTTGGAACAAGTCCAGAGGAGGGCCACGAGAATGATCAGGGGACTGGAGCACCTCCTGTATGAAGATTGGCTGAGAAAGTTGGGGCTGTTCAGCCTGGAGAAGAGAAGGCTGCGTGGAGACCTCATAGCAGCCTTCCAGTATCTGAAGGGGCCTATAGGGATGCTGGGGAGGGACTCTTCATTAGGGACGGTAGTGGTAGGACAAGGGGTAACGGATTAAAATTTAATCAGGGGAAGTTTAGATTGGATATAAGGAGGAAATTCTTTACTGTGAGGGTGGTGAGGCACTGGAATGGGTTGCTCAGGGAGGGTGTGAATTCTCCACTTTTGGTGGTGTTCAAGGCCAGGTTGGACGAAGCCTTGGGTGAGATGGTTTAGTGCGAGGTGTCCCTTCCCATGGCAGGGGGGTTGGAACTAGATGATCTTAAGGTCCTTTCCAACCCTAACTATTCTATGATTCTATGAATCCTGCTTCCCAGAAGCTCACAGATCACCTCAGGTTAGTTACTGGTCCACACAGGACTTTCACTGGCTGGGGAATCTAGCTCCATATCTGCTTGGAGCATCATCTCAGTCAAGCAAGCCAGAGCAATGTTACTGTGTTTCCACCTCCCCTCCCTGCAGTCCAAAGAGGATTTAGAAGTACAGAAGACATGTGTCATTAACACCATTATAAGACCAGGAGAAACTTGGGCAAATGTCACGTATGGACTGAGGCCCCATGCCACATCCAAATTTAAGGTACAGCTTAATACAGTCTTCTGAGTGGATCATAAAAATGGATAACCTCAAGGGCTTGGATCTTAAACCCATACCTTAGTCCCTTGTTAGCTACTCTGTGATTGCCTTCATCTCCTAGGAAAACCTGTGTTGAA